AAGATTGTCCTGTGGGATTGGAAGCTGAATGAAGGAAATAAAACAAAACCACAGGAAAATTTTCCATCTTTTTAGCTGTTTGTATTCTGAAGGGCCAGAGACTCTAAACTGAAGCCTGAAATACCCAGGGACTGATACCTGTTACTGCCCTGAAAGACACTTTGAATTGATAGATCACTACAACTCTGTTACTCTTAGGATGTAGATGAGTAACTCATTTGTGTATGTATGTTATGTTTTCTTGCTTTAACCTGTAAATAACTCTCTTATTCCCTTTTCCTAGATAATAAAGCATTATATAGATCATTAGAGGATTGGCTAAACGCGTTGTCTTTCTTTAAAGACGTTCTCCATAGGATTCTCATTCTTGAAGATTAAGAAGCTTGAGGATAAGCCAAAAGAAGAAAAGACTGCAGTGCTAAAAGTGACATGGGAACTTGGTAGTGGTTGTAGTATTAAAAATGGCATAGGGAAGAGTAAGATAGCTGACCAGTGCCAGGGAGACTTTTTAGTCTGAATAGTAACTGTGAACAGCGGGGTAAAATCAACGTTGAGTAGGAAAAATCTTTGCCTTGCATAAAATAAGGGTCTTCCACATACCCAAAACAAATGAACACCTTCTCTGGAGGTAGAATTGGGCCTCTCCCCCACTTTGGAAATAAATTCTGGAATGCAGAGAATCCAGGATGGGCTTCTCAACACAAACAAACAATAAGGCTGCAGGAGCACATGGAAGGAGGACCATATTGCTCCTTTGCTGATGAATTCAGAGAAGAAAAGTATGATATAGCTAGTTGTGGCAGGCTTGCTTCTGACTGAGTGCACATTGATACTTGTAGCTTCATGCTAGGGAGGACATAACAGAAGATGTGCTTGAATACCCATTTAGACAAAGTCCTCTTAACAAATAGCACTGCCCACTAAATTGGTATCAAACTGATCAGAAAATGGATGAGAAAATGTTATCGTTGGTTTTTCTTCAGGAAAATTTGTTGACATGAATCCTGAAATGCTCCAATTTGAAAGCTGTAAACTCTGCGGAGAGCTAAAGTTAGGGTGCTCCATAGGCTATAATTAACAGTAGTGGGATAAGGCTGATGAAAGTAAATGAAGGCTGAATGTTTAGAAACGTTTCCTGATGGTGAGGTGTATTAGATCATGGAATGAATTTTTTAGAGAAATTGCAGAAGTTCCATCACTCAAATAATTTAAAACTGGACTAGTTTTAATAGTTTTTTGCTCCTGTGAAATTCCACATGGAAGGAAGATTGTCCTGTGGGATTGGATGCTGAATGAAGGAAATAAAACAAAACCATAGGAAAATTGTCTATCTGTTTAGCTATCTGTATTCTGAAGGGCCGGAGACTCTAAGCTGAAGCCTGAGATATCTAGGGGCTGATTTCTGTGTCTGCCATGAAAGACACTTTGAATTGACAGATCACTACAACTCTGTCACTCTTAGGATGTAGATGGTAACTCATTTGTGTATGTACGTTTTCTTGCTTTAACCTGTAAGTAACTCTTATTCCCTTTTCCTAGGTAATAAAGCATTATATAGAGCAGTGGTTCCCAAACTTGTTCTGCCGCTTGTTTAGGGAAAGCCCCTGGCAGGCCGGGCCGGTTAGTTTACTGGCCGCGTCCACATGTCCGGCCGATTGCGGCTCCCAGTGGCTGCGGTTCGCTGCTCCAGGCCAATGGGAGCTGCTGGAAGCGGCTCAGGCCGAGGGACATACTGGCCACCGCTTCCAGCAGCTCCCATTTGTCTGGAGCAGCGAACCGCAGCCACTGGGAGCCGCAATCGGCCAAACCTGCGGACGTGGCAGGTAAACAAACCGGCCCGGCCCG